ATGTGGTTACTAGAGAGAACGAGAAATCCTTTTTTTTTCTCAGATCTTGTAAACTTCGAGTCGAAGTATTCTAACGATCGTTAAAAGCCGAGAAAAATGAAGGAAAGAATGAAGATGAAAAAGATATTCTATTACATTGGTTTTACGATATCATTGTACAACTTTTATTCGTGTTTCTTACATATCCAATGTTATCCGAGATAAAATGGGATTGCTTTGACAAAATTCGTAAGTCGTTGTTAGATCGGATGAATGATAAAGGGAACATGAATGTAATAAGATAAATTCAGATGGTTTTTTTTAGAATAATAGAAGGATTAACACATAAGACCATGTCAAAATATATTATAAAGTTTTTATCTAATTATCTTAAAGCCGTTTATTCGCCGAATGAAAATTATTCGCGTAGTAATTCGTTCGTTTAATTTTAAAATACGAGAATTCCTTCGTACGTTCGGATTACGCTTTAATGTTAACGATTTCGAAAGCTATTTTTTTTTCTCTTCGTTCGGGAAATAAAATGAACAAAAAAAAAAAGAAAAAAAAAGAATTGTTTTTGAATCGATGTCAAAGGAAACGATATCAGGCTCTTGTCGATACAAAGCGATGCCAAATAACATAGACTCGTGAGAAGTCAAGGGTGATAATACGCAATTAATTAATTTTCATATCAAAACGGTTATATATGAACGAACATGCCAATTACTAAAATGAACAAGGATGGGTTTAATCGATTGAAATTTCAAAAGGACTACATATGTATTTGTAATACAAGTAGATATAATATATATATATATATATATCACAACGTTTATATTCTCGAAGAACGAAAGACGAATTGGTTAGCATAGTAGGATCGTGATTATAGTACTCTTGCTCATGCCAACGTTAAACGGAAGAAGATAGAACCTCATTAAAGTCTCGACGGTTAGAAACGTTCTTTTTTTTTTTTTCTTTTTTTTTCTCTAGTCGATAGGCTTATCGGAATTTTTCCATCTCCACGGAATTTATTTATGTACTATATATCGACCCAATTTCAGGCAGGCAGCCTCCTCTTCCATTTCCTCAACAAGGAATATTGAGTCAGTCCAAGTGGAAGCGGTAGTTTCCTTTTACTAAAAACTAAATAGAAAGACGACGCGACGCGCTCTTTCGTTCGTAGGACGAGTAAATTATTTGCAAATCGGTCCTAATGTCTCCTTTCCTTTTCCTTTTCCTAACCACCTATTTCTTTTCCCCTTATTTTTTTATTTTTACCTTTTTCAAGATTTCCCTTCGAGAGAACGAACGTCTCGTGTATAGTCAAAACTGRATATTTATTTTTGTCAAATATCAATTTATAATAATCATTCTCATCTCGTTTTTTTTTTTTTTTTAAATCAGTATTTGTTAAATGTATAAAATTTAAATTATGTCAATCTAGCGATCGTCAAGATAAACGGGGACGATTTTATTTGACAATGATTTTTACGTTATCTTGTGAAAAACGTGTGTATGTAAGTTTAAATGTCTTTCTACGGAATAAAAAGTGTTTGTTTGTTTGTTTTTTTTCTTTCTTATTTCTCATTAATTCCAGATAAATCATAAAGTTTGCTTAATTAATATCCTACCACAAGCCGCAATGTTTACTAATGACAATACAATGGGGCACATTTTATCGTACCACGAATCCACTCATCGATTTACATGCTATTTCATACTTGTTTTTTCTTTTTTTTTTTTTTTAAACATTGAACGATTAAGTTGCATGTATGTATAACATGTGTATGGATCGATTTGACATACAGAACTCTTGTTGAAATTGTAGACAAATCGATGATCGGTTCTAGACTGATAGACAAAATCGTCTAATCTACGAATAAATCTAATCGTTCGGATTCTGTATCAATAATCAATCTGGAAACTGAGTTTTGATGATTTTTAAAGTAAAAATGAATAAAACAAAATCGTGCAAATTCAAATAGCCCAGTTCCCATTTTTCAAAGCAACCTTTCTCTCGCTTTCACTATGTTCTATAAACATATATATAAATATATATGTAGTAGTGCTCTTTTTTATTTTTTACTTTTTATTACAATGTGAGTGTAGCCTCTCTCTCTCTCTCTCTCTCTCTCTCTCTTCGTTTCATTTTCATTATCTGTCGCTTCACGTGTACCATATCGGTCGTACGAATACACGATGTATGAACATTCACGTATATAGACATATATTACAAAGTAACGCTCGTGTGTTTTCGTATGAGCTGTATTATATCGGGAAACTGCCTGTACAATATTTTCTCGTCAAGAGAAAAAAAAGAAGAAGAGAAAAAAAAAGAAATTATAAATCATGGGTTTCGCGTTTGTATGAATGAATGTATATGAAACAAATGTGATAAGACGAAAACAAAGAATGTATTTACTTGCATAAAAGTCGATAATAAATTATAAATGAAATCTTTTACGATTGTACAAGAAAATATATTTTACTAGGGGTGCCCCGTCATACGTTACTGTGGCTCATAATCAGTCCGATACAACGAATATTTATTAATAAACAAATAATTGCGATTATAAATTGAGATATAAACTATTCTATCTTTCAAATTGAATAAAACTGCACATAGTGTGCAAAATTTTATTAAAATTGGTTCAATAGTTTAGGAGTCCATTGCGGACAAACAACGTGACACGTAATTTATATATATATATTAAGATAACAAATTTGGATAATCTAGGAACAACTTTGGAACATAATATATGCATCATAATATTATATAAGATAATTATCTATAATAATAATAAAATCAAAAAAATAAATTCACATTTAAAAAATACGCTTTAATAACTTGGAGAGAATATTTATGATCCGCCAATCAAAAGTAGTTGAAAATAAGAAAAAGAAAAGATAAAACGATAGATTTAAGTTCTCAAGCAATGATTAACTATAATTGGATACTTCAATCTGTTTGTCTTACACATGGATTCATAAGAAAAATCTTTAAAGACGATAAGAAGAAAAAAAGTTAATAAATATTGAAATATTCGGATAGAATTCAAATGATATTTTGCATTAATTTAAACTTCTTCTTCTTATTATTATTAACTGAACAAGACATTTTCTTTTTTACAACTATCAGAATAATTATAATGAATCTGTACATAAAATATTTACAATTGTTAAAATATATAAATATTTTCTAAAAGTGTTAAAGTCATATATCTCTTGTTTTGAAATGAGAGTTGTTCAATCGATAAAAGAAGAAGAAGAAGAAGAAGAAGAAAAGAGAAATCTGATCATTTTCTTCAACGTAATTCTATGAAAAAAAATGTTCTTTCTTCTTATCTCTGTGAATCCTGGCAATGAGAAAATCTCTCGACGCCTGAAAGACGGCAATTTAAAAGTGACTATTGGAAAGATGATCGTGAAAAAGAGAAATCCTTCTCTCTACAAACGATTCTCTACTTGACATTGTATAACATTTATATGCATGTACTTGGACTAGTCCATAAAACGAGAAAGAGAGAGAGAGAGAGAGAGAAAGAAAAAAAAAGAAAAGAAAAAATAGGGGTGAAAAAAGAGAGAAATCGCAAAAATACTCGAAAAAAAAGAAGATATCGTCGATATACGATAAGAGTCTCACGTGTTGTATATTATTTCACATGTATATCATCTGTACCACATATACATACATAAATACATACACATACGTACTTTCGACGAGAATTCTTCGAAACTCATGGAGAGAAACCCGCTGGAAAACTGCAACGATCGATCCAAATGTTTTACACGAACTTATTGTGTCTCCCTGCGTTCTCGAGTGTTATGAAAGCATGTGAAACAAAGTGAAAAATAAAAAATAAATTTAAAAAAAACACACACACAAAAACAAGAAAAAAGGGTATAATATTCGGGGTCTTCGTTTAATTAATTTCAACAATTCATAAATGAGTAGAGGAGGGGTTTCTCGTATCGATTACGAAGGAAATTTGTTAGCTAACTTGATATACCTATTAGAAATAATTAGATTTTCCAAGCAGGAAGAATTTCAAATTACGATTAATAGCTTGTTAATTTTCATCGTGTTATATATATATACATTCGTTTACGTGAATTTCAAGTATTTCTCATTATCTAACAACAAATTAAATCTATTTGATGCTAACAGCTGTAAAACTAGTTAATTGTTCTGAACCATGATTTTATAATGAACTTCTCTTTCTCTAACAAAATTCATTCAAATACGATAAGATTTTCTATTTGATACGATCTAGGAAGTTCATTTCTTCATTCGTAAGTAATTCCTTTATTACGAAAATGCAGGTAGATGACTTGTTTCGCGATAATAAGTGACAAAGCTTGAAATAGATTAAACCATTGAGATGATAAATCTTGAAAAACTAGAAATCCCTTTTTTAAATTTTTTTATAAATGTAATACACTTATCAATATTACTTGTTGTTTTTATAGAGAAGATTTACTTAGAGTATTCCACTTTAAACGATCATTCTATGAAATGTCTATTTAATTCTGAATAAAATAGAATTATATAAAACAAAATGTTTCTCTTAAAAAGTATATAAAAGTATACGTAAGTCTTTTCCATTATCTTTTACATGATTGTATTATTTTTTTGCGTTACAATCGTAAAATTTAGAAGATTTTGCTCGAACGATACTCTCGAGATTTATTTATTTTTTTTTTTTTTTATTACATTTTTTCCCTCGATCGTCCTTGACACTGTCCTTCTCTCGTGACAAACTTTATTAGAAAAAAAAAAAAAAGAAAAAAAAAAACTATAAAATATATTATCGATTTTATAAATTTATTATAAAATAAAATAAAAAATTCTAACGAGACTTGAAAAAGATTGTGTTAAGTTAATTATTTAAATAACTTTTTTTTTTCTTTTCATATATTATGCAACAATTTCGTTTTAATAAAAATAATAATAATAATTATTATTATTATTGGATTATCGATAATTTTTTTTCTATCTATCTATCTATTTTTGTTCACAGAATGTCCAAGAGATGACTGGACAGTGAAAGAAGGTGCGGTGGCTCCTGAGTTTGCTGTCACCGTAGCTTCGTTTAGCAGGAATGGAGGTAAACGGGACTCAGAGTAGCCTGAACGGCACCGAGGTCAATCGTACGACAGCACCAATCTTTACCATTGGCACCGACTTTATTACACGGTGGTGAGTTTTACCAATCTGATATCAAAAACAACCTGACAATTATATTTTTTCTTTTTTTTTTATTTCCTTTCATTTATCTCGATTTACAAATTACCTACCCGTGCTTTTGCATTGATGGTTATTTTATTTCTTAATATTTATGAATTAAACATTTGGAAAAAAAAAAAGGAAAGAAAAAGGGGGGAAAAAAAATAACAAGGCACTAAGAACGATAACGAGAAATATTTATGGCAGTTTTCTATCGCTAACGGAAATACACACTCTCTCTCTCTCTCTCCCCCTCTCTCTCTCTCTCTCTTTCTCTCTCACTCTCTCTCTCATGCATATTATTTTCTGTTCTCCATGCAACACTTTTTCCCACGATGCAGAATACGTATATCTCACCTACATTGCTATCCAATGGTTTTTCGTCGAAGGACAAGTCGGGAAATCGTGTCACCAGAAACAGTGACTCTCAACCTGATATTCATCGTTGTTTGTTTTTTTCTTTTTTTTTTTCTTTTCTTATTAAAATATAAAAGTACGAATATTGAGTTTAAATCGTGCATAAAATTTGTATTGCTATTATTATTATTTTTATTATTATAATTATTATATAAATTCATTCATGTACGTATATTTATTTAAATGTAATACCTGTAGATTATATTTTTATATAATGATATATATATATATATATATATATATATATATACCGTGAAAAGTTTAGAAAGTTTCCAATTACATTATCGATGCATAAAGTTTCGTATCCTTGACTTACAACTCTAATTATCTCAAACATCATCTTTACCATCTCATTAATAGTCAATTAAGACAATTCGCTTCGACTAACGAAATTTAACGACTCAAGAATTCTGATATTTCGTTCGATAAGTACACACACACACACACACACACACACACACACGAGCACATAAATACATATATGCGACAGGTTGTTATAATGATTGATGAATAGAACTGAAATATTCGTATCTCGTTATAATTCAAGTAAAACGACCGATCACAAATAATCATCATCGTAAATAATCGTATCGACGTTTACGAGAGATTTTAAGAGAAAAAAAAAAGAAAAAGAAAAAAAAAAAAGGTAACACACACTATAGTGAAAATGCTTTTCTTTTTAAACATCGTAAACTCGTTGTACGAAAAAAACAAACAAACAAACAAAAAAAGAAAAAACCTGGTGAGAAAGTAAAGCGAACGCAAATTCATCGTCGTCCTAACGATTATCGTTTCTAACGATCGATTTTTCGCTTTTGGATTTTACGCCTTTTAAGCCTTTATATGGGCAAACGTTCAACACCTGGAATACTCATTATCGTGGAGCAATAACATCGTCGCGATTCGTTCTATTAACGCGCCATTACCGTGCATCTATGCATTCAGTATTTGTAAGACATATGTACACACACACACACATATATATATATATATAGTATATTTATATATATACGAAGTCTGGAGGAAATGAACTTTCATAGACGGAAGAGAAAAAAGAAAAAGCTCTCTCTCTCTCTCTCTCTCTCTCTCTTTCTCTCTTCCTCTTGTCGTAGTTTCCTTTGGGCCGGTAGCATTGTCCTTCGAAGGCTATAAATAAGAATCGATCGTGCAAAGAGCTGTCTCGATAAGCGAAAATTCATTTGTGGCATCGAATGAAATTCTCGTCCGATTATCAAGTGATTTGAACTAACAACTTAGATTCTTACCATCATGATTTTCAATGGTGTTTCTCTTTTAAATGAGAGAAAGAATGTACCAAGTATGTTTATTATTGATATTCTTAAACGATAAATCAGATGAATTGGAAATAAATGAGATATGTAATATCCGACTTATACTGTGCTCTAAAAAAAAATAAAAAATAAAAAAAAAAATAAAAAAGAAAAATGTCATAAATTATTCTCTACAATATGCGCATATTATACGCGTATAAGTTTCAAATAATGGGCACTCTTGTGTGTCCATTGCAACAGCTGGTTGCATGGAATTTTTCGATAATGCACGATCCCATTTACTTTCACAGGTAATTTGCTATTTAAAGGAATCTACTTTTTAAAATGAGGTGAATCAGTGCCGAAAATGTAGGATGTAAATTGTAAACGGCTGATCAATACCTTCCTAAAAGATTGAAAGAGAGAGAAAGAGAGAGAGAGAGAGAGAGAGAGATAGATAGAGAGAGAAAGGGCTAAGTCGGTCTCGTCGTCCTAAAAACAGTGGTACACTTTTGAAAAAGGTCCGACCATCGTGATTTATGGTTTACATCGATCTTTTTCAATCGTGCAAACCTCAACCATTATCACATGGTACGGTCGTTGGATTCCGTTGTATTCTCAATGTGCGAGAGAATGCAAATTCCCTTATCTACTGACAGAAGTGAACTTTCTTTTTATCGATTTGCCTTGGGTGCAATTAATCCCTGTGTATCAAGGAGGGAACATCGTTGCAACAAAACGAAACTCGTATAGACTAATCTCGACGAAACAGAATCCTTGACCTACCACCAGCAATATCAGTAGTAGTAGTAGTAGTAGTAGTAGTTGCAACTACCAATAGGAAATTTTGCAAATACTCACTGACTATACTGACGATGAGAATGAGAGTATGTAACTTTTGTTCGGCGTGTGTTACACGTTTTAGTGGCTTAGGCACGGTTTACTATTAGGTGTATACGGGGCCGATGTCATTTAACAAAATAGAGAAACGAATTTCGTGCTAGCTAACTGTAACACGCGAACATAACAAAATCGTTACAGGTATGATGTTCTAACACGCGATACAAATGATTATTTTCAAACTTATATTGCGTATTTTCTACGACGACACGTGTGTGTCTGTCATTTATCGATTTCTTTGTTTTTTTTTGTTTTGTTTTTTTATCGATTAAATTTACAAATTTATATCTATTTTCTTTTTATTTATTTAATTACAACAAAAGATTATGACTTTAAATAAAGAATTGATTATTCGATTTAGTAAAAGTATTTAATGTTAAAAAAAAAAATCAGATAAGTCAAAGATACTATAATAGTTATTAGTTAAATAGGAATAATCAATTGAAAATGGAAATTTGGATGCACTCGGAAACATGATTGTCTTCTCGTCATTCGAATGCATCATCGTCGTAGTTGGGTATTAACGTTAAACTTCGAAACAATGGCCTTCAAATGTCGCTAATGCCAACTAATCGCTGGTATTTGTAGTACGTGTTCCAGAGTATGCTTAACTTCGTGACGATAGCAATACACTAGGATCATTTCAATCGTTCTTTACACATCACAAAATACATTGGCATAGAGTAAAGAAAAATTTGAAATTAATTTTCAAAAGGATGAAAGTAACAAATAAAAAGAAGAAGAATAATAAAAAAAAAAGAAAAAAAAGAATAATAATTTTAATAAATGTATTATTAAACACGTTCGTAGCCATGGCACCGTATACGGGAGACGAGCATGCTTCTCCGGTGAGCCCCGTCACCGTATACGGTGACACTCTTCTTGTTGAAGTTATAGGATTTTTAATTGGAAAAACTTATCACATTTTCCATTTCGAAATTATTTTTGGTAAATGAAAGATAGTTTTATATTTTATTATTTTTGATAAATAAAACATAATAATGTAATATAACCATAATACTCTGGTTACATTGTTGATATTTCTACTTATCGCTTCTTTACGTTACGTAGGCTTGCCGACAGTCGAATTTTGGGCCTAGCGAGAAACTCAACCGAAACGGGCTAGGCGACGAACGTGTTAAACACGTATATTTGGTATGACACTACGACATACATATCGATTTTCGAATTTTCAGTTTCCGTGAAGAGGAATCGAGGAGGAAAAGTGTGTTATCTATGTGCCAAAGTAGAGCGCATCGCTTTCAAATCGCGTGTTCCTATGCCTCCAAACGGAAATGCATACACCAGGTTCGCCCGCATTCGAAATACTACCTACCTACCTACCTACCTTTCTATTTCGATGTGCATAGAATTTCTGGGAATATTTAATTTACCTTGAAGAAATATCGAGAAAAATGTGAATATTTTTTTTTTTTTTTAACGCAAAAGAACGAGAACGAGTTCTTCTCGTCGTAGAATCAATCCACGTACAATGATGAAATATTATCAATATATAGAACAAGATAGAACATATTACATCTTTTAATATTCGAAATAGTATTCAACGTTCTATTTATACAGGGTGATTCTAGGAACGAAGGCAAGTAATAACTTTTTTTTAAGTAACAATAGAAAAAAATCATAAGGGAAAAAGTTATATGGCACAACAAATGTCAACTTTCAATGATCTTACTTTTTTTGAAAATCCATCGATGCACTCATTAGATGCAGTTGCACTTTTTTTTTAAATCGAACTTTATATTTTCTTTTACACCATTCGATTCCTTTTTTTATTCTACGTTAAAAAGTATTAAGTGAAGATCATCGAAATGTCAATAGTTTACGAGATATTTGAAAAATCATCCTGTATTTTTTCAATATACTAATCTGTCAAGTTTTTCCTTCGATAAATTGTAAATTCTTATTTAATAGAATATCTCCATTATTATTATGTATATGTGTGTTATTTATTTACTTGAATACAGATACATATATAATACATTTGTAATTAACTGTATCACTATCAGAGATTAGTAACGATACGTTGCTTTTACGTGTTCTGATCTAACAGTTGGTGCAGATGGGTTAAACTTTCGAGATATCGAGTAGTATCGTAATTATGCACAGTTATCTGCAGAGGAGTAACAGTGTTAATTACTTCATAGTTTTCGGCAATACAAATACACTGATAAACATTACACAAGGTGAATCAAATTTAATCAAGTATAGGATGTTTATTCATAGAAAAGGAAATATTACGTTTTGAGAGTAGATTTGAGATAAACTATATTTGATTTTTTCCAAATTACTCAAAGACATTTTTCTAATGTCAAGAAGGGAAGAACACTCACTCCATCCTCCTGTAAATTTTCTTCAAAGAAGAAA